ATTTCAAGTGTGGCTTATTTCTGTTTTCATGTAGTACTGTGGTGAGGCCACCTACTTGAAACGAAGTTCTGAACTGTGCATTTATATCTAGTGGGTTAGTTGATCCCATGATTTTTAAAATTAATTATGATGTTCTGTGAGGTACATAGTTTAAGAATGTTTTAATTTAAAAATTAAAAGTAAATTGGCTAGATCCTTGGCAAGGTACAGAGATGCTGAGCACTCCTAGCAGGATAGAGGACAAAGATGGCTTTACGATGGCTGGTTCAGTTCCAGGCATAATTTAGAATAGCCTCAAAGATGATCTAAGGTATACCTTGGGGACCATTCTTGCAGCCCAAAATAGGAACACCCTTGTCCCACTCCCCTTCTTCTGGGACCTTCCCTTATACCAGGGCCAGGGAAGAGGGTGAACCTCTATGCTGGCTTTTTGCCATCTGGAGATTCCATTTAGGTAGGTTCAGAGAGTGCAGAAATACTTATTAATGCTCCCTCCAAATGCCGTGCTTTCTGCCTCCCTGTGCACTTGAGGGTATAATAATCAACACTGTCACACAGGTTATTGTTTCTCATTGCTTGATTAGCCATCTTCAGAATACTTGTTCTGCTGTATTTTAATTTTATGATAATGATAGAAATTGAGACTTGTCTTAAATAGACTGTGAAACTTTTTAGCTGTATCCAAAATACTACTTAAACTTTTAACAATATATTATGGTGAAGCAATGAATGAAGATAATATTCTATTGTAGTAAGTCATCCCAGATAACATGTAGGTGTATTTTTGACAATATTTAAGAACATCATGATCTTCATTTACCAAACTTAAAGTGCCATCAAGAGCTGGATGGACGCAGCATATGTTTTCTTGGAATATTTGCTCACATTTTTATAAAAATTTGACTGTGCTCATACAGTATGTGTGTGTGTGTGTGTGTGTGTATATATATATATGTAGGCTTTACATTTTTGTCATTCTAGTAAATGAGTTTACTATAGGAATGTTACCTACATTTCCAATTTTAAATGTATTTTGCAGAATATTTGCAAAAAATTAACATATTTGCACCAGAAATCCAGTTCTTAACTATGTTATCCCTTCAGGGCACAGAAATAGACATTTGTTTCCAATATTATGTAAATGATCAAAATCATCCATATTTTGAATATTTATAACAGAGTGCTTAGGGACAAGGCACAAACCAAGAACTATCTGCAGAAGTCATTCAGAGATTAATAAATTAATCTGATAAAAATCACTGTTACCTCACAGACAATCACAAAGAGGAAGATGTTAGGCAAATTATTCATTTTGAATTATCTACCCACCTAGCGTTATGGAAGAAGGAAGAATGTGGTGACAACTATTCAGCCAGAAGGCCTGCCCTATTTTTTTGGTCAGATGAATTGATATATTTCAATTAGGTTATAACAAAGACTCATTTTAAAGGATTTTCAAGAAAATCTGCCAGTCAGTTGCTGAATAAGTGTCTAGTTTAAGGTACCTATTTCCAAAAGATTGATTGATTCTCTTGTACCTTATTTATATTATAAATTAGTATACAATTAACTGTGCTTTTGGAAGGAAAAAGGAGATGTAAGCCTGAATTTTAACATTATTTAGATGAAAATCTTGAATCCCTGAATTGACTAGCGAGGGGTAAGAAAGGCAAACTTGACAACAGTTAGGCCGCTGGTGTGCTGAGACCACTGCCTACCTTGCTGAACAATATAGTCTCGTTCCTTTTCACTCCCCCATCTGTTTGTATCCATCTGTTGTTTCTTGTCTTATACATAGATTGTAAACTCTTTGGGGCAGGGACTGTGTTTTTGTTCTTTGTTCAGCACCTGTCACAGTGGGGTCCTGGTTTATGTCTGGGGCTCCTAGGCTCTACAGGCGTACAAATAAATAATGACACTATGTAGGGGGAAAATCCTTTTTTTTTTTTACTGGTAGACCAGGTGGTTGATACTTGTTACCTGACCTGCTGGCCACTTAACTTTTTCTGAGGCCTTCTTTTATGGGTGTGAGTCAATGGCAAACAGTGGTTTTAACTACAAGCTTCTATTGCTTAAAGCGTAATTGATAGCTAATAAGACCTGATTTAATCATGAAGGAGGATGCCAGACCTTGCATGTATTTCTGAAGCCTGTCTGAGTGATCCTTTATTGGCTCAACTGCGTCTGGTTGGATATTTGATCCTTTGTGAATCTAGAAAGTACCAGAGAGAAGGTATGACTAGTCTTTTTCTGTCTAATCTCAGGTCAAGAAGATTCTTAAAAATGGATTCACTTAAGTGTGTCTACCTTGTGCATCCTTGGATAAAGTGAATATGGGAACTTTTGGTACAGACTAGGCTGCTAGTTGTTAGAACTGCTACCTGAGTGTACTTAGAGCTCTTGTCAGACCTGATATTGGGATTAGCTTCACTTGGGATCTCATGTCTTCTGTGGCAACCATGGGCCTATTGCAAGTAGTTTCTAGCCCTATTAATTTGGCCATGCTATCTTGGATTTGATATTTTGAATGAGAATTACAATAAAGGGATTTTAAAAAAATCAAACTAAACCCTAAATAATCAAAAGCTTTGTCAAGATAGATTATCAACTCCTGCTGGCTCAAATCAGTACCTTTTCTATTTTCAGTGCATTGAGAATCATAGTATACCTATTTTTGTTGTCTGCTCTGAAATTGCTGGACCCCTGAGGTTCCAGAATGTTCTGAGGAGTTTTACTGCTGAGCTACTGGGACAGTCTGAAGATGGAAAATTTGTAACTCTCTCTTGTACACAGCCGTTCATACGGGGGCATCCAGACATCTCCTTCTCTTTCACCATTCTTCCAGATGTCAGAGGAGAAGACTACATAGTTTTTATGGAGTATATTTTTGTTAAATTTGCAAAGTGTCTAATTAGTAGCTTTATAAAGCAAAATAAATAAAATCACATTATTTTATATTACTTTGAGTATTTAAAAAAAAATTAAGATGAATGATTCTTGGTTTCCATTTCTGTGAAACAAGAAGTTCACGACTAGGACATAATACTGTGTTTCTCACTTTTATATTTTAATACTATTTTAGAAAATTTCAGTTTTAACATGCATTTGGTGAACACTGCATGGAAACCTTTGATAAATAATTCTGTTTAGAAACTATTCTAATACTGTATACATGGTATTTTATTTTTCCTCCCTTGTTTTATAATATTAGGGACATTGTATGAAAACAGACTCAGTTCCTTAGCTCATAAATTCTTTGTTTATTCCGTATCTGATGTGCCAGGATTATCAGTTTCTAATATCATTTTCCCCACTGCCAGTAATTGTGATGTCATAGAGGGAGATTGCTATGTGAGGCAGGAAATAAGCAGCAGGAGCATATTAGATACTTAGGAAACAAAGTTTCAGTGTTCATGCAAATATATATAATTTTTTTACAGGATGGTGGAGGTTACACAGAAAATGAGATAATGCTTGTGACCCAAATTCGTACCTAATTCTGTTTTCTAAATTTTCCATGAGGCACCTGGACCAACAAATATAGACTACTATACTGGCTTAATACAGTGTGTTTTTTCAGGTTGAAACTAAAAAATAAAAATGATGTTAAAGTATAATTGCAGGGAAGTTGTTGATGAAAATGTTTGCATTGATGCTTTATGTATAATTTATATTTTGAAGTGTCTACAAGCTTGAAATAACTGCAAAAAACATTTAAAAAGTAATTTAATTTTCATATCCAACACTGTATTAATGTTTAATATTTCAAACTTTTTTTAGCTACCTTTTGGTAATATATAAGTTAAATCTATTATTATGTGTTTCTTTTGTGTTTGACCTATGGTTTGGAATTATTTCTTCTCTTTTAGCACTGCATGAAAACACTATGTAGTTTTACTGTAGATTTTCTTGCCTAGTACATGGTTTCCAAACAGTGAAGTTTTCCATATTTTTAGGACTGTTATTCATTATTCCTTGTTAGTATTTTTAATATAATTTATGGGGAGAAAATAGGGTGCCTGTGTATATCAAGTCACATGAGCTGTCTTATATAGAATAGAAAACTAGCCTGTAGATGGAAACTAATTTGGATTTTGAAGATTAGTTGTGTTTAAAGAATCTGCCAACATGTCCAAAGTAGAAAAGGGGTATATCTAGTGAATGGAATGAATAGTCATAGTCTGCAGTTTAACTCTGCTATAAGTTTTTTTTGGAGGGGTTATTTTATTATTTTGTATTCATAAAATGCTTATACAGCTACAGAACTTCAGATTCATGCTACACATTTTCTTTACGTTTTATAATGTGTATCATTTAATGACTAATTTTTTTCACTAAATACTTTCAGTTTAAGAAATTATGAAGTGCTGAAAGGGGGACAGAAGAAGAGTATAAAATCAAGTAAATGTATAGTTTATGTACCAAAATTATACCACAAATTTATAGGTTTGCTTTTACAAACCATAAAATAACTATCTGGTATTTTTGTGAAAGACTGTAATATGTTGTGGTTGCATAATGTCATACTTCACTTGTTTGGTGAGTATGCAGCTAAGGACTAGACACTTTCTCAGTTCAGAGGTAAGTCAGGCATTTAATAGAAAGAAAAATCTTACAGTAATATCCGTGTTCAGGTGTCTAAATGATATGTCTCAACAGCTAAAAATAAAATTTGGGAGGAGGAGGTGGAGGTGGAGGGAAAAGTACAGGATGATGCTGTTGCATACTTTTTCCTCTGGTAACGGAAGGTTAAATGGGTAGCAAGCAGAATGCCTTAAACAAGATTGGTATATTGATTAAAACGCTGATTTAACAGCTCGCCTTCCCCCCTTGGAAACCTGGAAAAGATAAGCCAGCTGCTGTCTAAGAGTGCTGAGTGTCCACTGAGAGTACGCTATCTATCATCACAATATGGTGATGAGAGGTGTTTTATGTTTGTGTTAATTTCCCCCACTAAATCAGTAATTATTACAATCCTGTCCCTGCTGTTTACCCTGCAGCTGTTTTTCCATTTGTCGAGAGAGCGGGTGTTCTCTGAGGACCGCACACGCTTCTATGGTGCAGAAATTGTCTCTGCTTTGGACTATCTGCATTCCGGGAAGATTGTGTACCGTGATCTCAAGGTAAAAAAAAAACCAACACAAGTAATCAAATTTTTGTTTTTGCGAAGACTATTGGGACAAACTCAAAGTAATTATAAAGTTACACAGTTTTGAGAAAAGCAGAGTTTGTGTGTGTATGGGGGTGGGGAGGGAGAAGATTGTGTTTAGTTAAAATGATCAACACTGTCACACAGTTAAAATGCTACACATTAGACCACAAGGACTAGAAAAATATTAAAAAAGACAAAGAAAAAAAGGAAGCTACAATTCTAATGCTATTCTTCTGTAGTTGTGGAATCACAGAATATATGGGGTCCTGATTTCTATCTCTTTGGAAAATGCTAGAGATTCATTATTTGACTTGAATTCATGTAGTTCACCAGTGTTGAATCAGCATTTTCAGAACACATTTTCTATTGAGAAAATTTAAGGTTTCCTATTCAGAAAAGTAGTTTAGAACAATGTTTTGCTTGTTTGCAGTATATATCTGTTGAATTATTTTTAATATCCAAACAAATTCTATGCACACAGAAGAAGCTTTTGGAGAACTACTGTTAGTCATTACTCTGGGGTAATTACCAGTAAAAATTGTACCAGTTTTCATTCTGGGTCATGAGCCTGAGCTGCAGGTAATGCACAGATAGAGGAAAGCCATAAAATTTTGCCAAACAAACAATTCTGTGATGATTGCAATAGGTCCTCTGGAAATTATGAGTGTCTTGGAAATTTTTAGAAAGTGTTTTTTGCTTTCATTCTGTGGGAAAGAAGTATATTGAGCAAACTCTTACGGTATTTATTGGGGGAGCCTACAGTCACTTTCTTGATGACACAGTAGTGAACTACAGTGCAATTTGTTACCTTGCAGATATAGCTTAGTTAAGGCTTTTTTGATGACATGTAGTATATTAGCCTGTTAAGAAATACTTATGGACTAATTGTGTGTGTTCTTTCTAATATGCAGTTAGAAAATCTAATGTTGGATAAAGATGGCCACATAAAAATTACAGATTTTGGACTTTGCAAAGAAGGAATCACAGATGCAGCTACTATGAAAACATTCTGTGGTACACCAGAATACCTAGCTCCTGAGGTATGATTTAGAATACTTTTTTTCTGTACAATATAAAATGTTTTTTCTTTCATTTAATTGCAGTGTATATTATTTGGGTGATCAAAACTGTTGTGAAGAATGGACAATATGTTGGATTATTGTTACTATTATTGTACTATTTCTGTTGGGAAACCTTATCTACCAATAATCATATTTTCAAATTTATGAAATTGTGTGTTTCTAAATATAGCTAAATCATCTGAAATATAATAAAACTTCAGTATCGTCTACAATAGAATAATTGAAAACAGCATCCTTTCTTTATTACATGTATAGTGGTCACACCTAAAATTTTCTTCTGTTTTGAGAAACATTACTAGTTTCCACAGTAGTCCCCATTTTAGGTATATAGAATATTGCTAATTTTTCATTCCTAAGTACATTTGCAGGGAAACCAGGGTTTTGTTTCTTAGACGCCTAGCTGCTTTCACTGCTTAATCTTCACCAGACAGTGATTATGGTATCACAGAAGAAGGATTGACTTAAATTGAAAAATGTGTGGTAGGATCCTACAGTGTGAAAAATGTGTAGTAGGATTAAGAAATACAGACCTTTTTATGTTTCTGAGGAAAGAACAAAAGAAAAAAAATGTTCTTTCTTTCCACATTCTGGCATGGCTAAAACAGAGCTATGATTCTTTCTAGGGGTACCCTGGGTTGTGAGGCACCTCACAACCATGTGCCCTTAGTGTGAGGAAGTCTTGTCTGTGCTTGCTGTGGATCAATTCCTTGACTCCACTAGCCTCTGGCACCACAAGCCCTACCTTCCAGGTTTCTGCAGGCTCTGCTCACTTTGTACTGGTTAATGATACACCAACCCCCAAGTCCTCTGAGCATCCCTCTTGAGAGCCCAGCCCCTGTTCCACTGAACACATGCAGAACTTTCAGATTTTCTACTCCCAAAGGAATAGTATATACCAGCTTATTAGCTTTAACTCAGGATCACCACTCCACTTAATGCACAGTACTTAGATACACTTATTCTTGTTTTCACTATAAATATATTATGAAAGACCAGAGAGTCAAATGATAGTAAGAGAGAATATTGGAAACAAATTGTTACATACAAAACAAAATTATAATACTCTTTCTAAAGCTTAAACGTAACTCCCAAGGACATTCCTGGTCTCATACAAGATAGCTTACCCTAAGTCCTTTTCCCAGCATTTTCAGCCAAGATGACTGAGATCTCCCTTTTACAAGATCTAACCTGCTGGCAGCCTGTCTTTACAGACTGAAGGATACCAAAACATCTCTCTGCACTCCCAGATATAGCAGACCAGAACTTTGATCTTCATCTGAAAACAGGGCTGTCCTCCCTGTCTGCTGTTTACTTCTTCCTTTTAATTTTCTTATGAAGTCTCAGCAAGCAAGCTCTTCATTAGCATTTGATTCAGTATGCTGATAGACTTCTATTGGAAGACGCACAATATAGATAAGTGTCTCTCATCTCCTTTCTGTAGAATTTTGTCTCAAGGCACGCAGCGTGCCTTGAGTGACCTGTCTTTTTAACTACAAGGCCTAGAGAATATTTTCAACATGTGTGTATATAACGCCTCACATACTGTGTTTACATACCTCTCACAGTGATTATAATGCAGTGTGCCACAGGCTTTCTTTAGAGACCTTGCATGACATTTGTGGTGAACCCAGGACACCCTGTATTCTTATGTACACCTGTGCCCTCTGCCAGTTGGTATCAAGAGGTCTTTGGGTCACAAGAATGTTATCAGTTTTCCAGAGACCATCAGTCGTTTACAAAAGTAGTAAGGTGTAAAACACATACTTCAAGAATTTACCTCTGTGAGATAGCATACTGCATAGCATAGGCCCTGCAACTTTCAAAAGCAGGTAGGCTCCTTGATGGTTTCACTTGTTAAAGACCAAAGAGCTGACAAGACCTTTCATTCTGCATTCTCTGATAGGATGTCTAGGAGACTGGACCATTTGGGCAGGAAATTGTACTTTTTAGCTGTTTTGGCTATTTGCATAACTAATTATTAAGCTGTGGTGGCTGAATAGGATTAAATCTATGGGATAAGATGCTGTCTGTGATTGATATGCTGCCAGTGACTGACTAACAAATATTCAAGGCTTTGGTTCAGAAAGGTCTGGACTTAACAAAGCATTCCCTTGAGGCTAAGTCTGCAGTCTTGATATGACAAGCTGTTGCATCTGCAATTACAATTAAAGGGGTATATTCCTGGCTGCTAAATTCTGGCTTCACCCAGAAGATGCAGGATGAAGTACCTGACTTTCCTTTTGTGGACCCTAATCTTTTTAGACAAAAGGCCATGATCGATACCATGGCGGGAGGGATAGCTCAGTGGTTTGAGCATTGGCCTGCTAAACCCAGAGTTGTGAGTTCAGTCCTTGAGGGAGCCATTTAGGGATCTGGGGCAAAAATCTGTCTGGGGATTGGTCCTGCTTCGAGCAGGGGGTTGGACTAGATGACCTCCTGAGGTCCCTTCCAACCCTGATATTCTATGATTCATGTTGCAACTTCATTGGTGCTCATGAAGTCTCTCCATAGTTGCACATCATCACAGGTCGGTTTTTAAGTTTAGCTTAACAAGAAGGTAGACAGTTGAACTGTGTAGAACTCTGCATAAGAGTGTCCTAGAATTGGATGAACGCTTGCCCTAAATCACAGTGAGAGTCCTTGGATATAAAAATTAGCAAAACCACTTCAGAACAGTTCTATCCACTCCTGGTAGGAACCACAGAAAGCTCAATACCACCTCATGCCCAGCAGTATTGAAGGTACCAGTGATCTTAACAAAATCAGCATGAGGTACATTGTCTTCATCCATAGACGGGAAGAAATCCATGATCAAAGCCCCCACTGGTGTCTATCTCATAACCTGTTTTAAAACGAGACTGACTGAGATCAACGGAATCTGAAGACTGCAGATAGCATATATGTTTGACTACTCAAAAAGAAGGAGGGAGACTGTGTAACTGGCAAAGTTTTGTGTCGTTATTTGCTGAGTAGAGGTCTTACCAGTGTCTCTTTGAGGACACCAGACACCAAACATTCAGCCAAAGAATCTGACAGATTTTATTTTTTTTAAACCACCAACAGGCATATTATCTCCCTGTAAGCCTTTACCAGCCAAGAGGGACATGGCCCCATGTACAGGTAGTGACTCAAAGTGTTTTCAGCACTTCCAGAACGTTGAGTGTCAATGTTCAAAATTCAGTGAAAGAAAATGTTTTGTTTGTTCCTTCAAGACATTGCCCTATACCCAGGGATGCAGACATCTCTGTCAAAATCAGAGTAATTTTATCAACAAAGTGAACAGCAAATTCCTCACAGAAAGAAAATCTCTCCTCTGTTTTCAAATGGAGGCAGCTTGGATTGATCAGGGTATTGATAATCCAGAACAGTTATTCAGTGTGCAAATTGAGTATGGTGGACAGAATGAAACTTTTCTTCCTTTTCTGTACAGCCATGTTATACATTTTTTTTTTAAATTCTTGATTTTGCAAACAGTTGGACTTGAATCTGAACATCTGCTAGTGGTACTCTAGTAATCTTTCCTGTTATTTCATTTATTGCAAGTTATCTGTAAACCACAGTGATAATTTAAGGCAAAGTTGGGGAATCAGTTCAGGGGAGTTGTCATTTGCATGGCCATGGAAACCCATGCAAATGGAATCCTACTGAGATTGCACTCTTTCTCATATTAGTTAGTTAGTTTCCTGTGTTTATGTAAGTCTTTCACAAATAAATACATAAATAAATAAATAAGCCTTTTAGAAAATAAGTAAATGTGATTGGAAAAAATGTGTAAAATGACAGGAAAATTCAGATGCAGGTATAATATCTGAAACTGCTTTTAACTTGTATGACATTGGACTAGATTTCAGTGTGCCTTTTAAACATTTTATAAGTGAAAAGTCATCCAGCCCCTGCACCTTGGGAACTTAGAACTTCATGTTAATGGCACTCTTGACTCACCTTTCCTCTTAATTACCCCCCTCATCTGACATACTGCCTTTGATCAATTTCTCTACTCAAGACACAAGCCAGTCCCTTGACCATATCATTGACAAGAACTGCTCTCTCACTGATCTGCCTTCTGCTGAATTCTGTCTGATCATTTTATCTCCTTCTCTGTATTGCTCACTTGCCCCATCTCTGGCTCACATTCCTTCTGTTGTCTCTAGTCCATTGACATTTCTTACTTGTCTCCCTGCCTCTCATTCCTTCTCTTTCTTCACTCTCTTCCATTCAATTCACGATTTCCATCTAAAATTCCATCCTTTCTTCCCAGCTCCTTTGCCCCCTTGTCTGTCAGACTGATTCATCCCACCCACCCCCAACTTCTGATTGCTTTGCTGCATGTGCAGACTTCCTCCACTATGAGTTTATCATCCCTTCATTCAGTTTAGCGGTCTTCCTTGCAAACCAGATCTGCTTCTACACCCTCATTGAATTTCACTATAAGTGTTAACAACCCCAGTATCCTCCTTCTCCCACAGATTAGGAGTTTTGCTGTCATTTTAACCCCTCCTCTCCTCGTACAATGATCATTAAATTTTGTTGGTTTCATCACTACAGTATTTTTAAATCCACCTATTCCTCACTGTTCACAGCACAAAACCCTTATACAAGCCTTCATTATCTCATGCTTTAACTACAGCAACCTTCTTCCCACTGCCCACTATGATAGACATCAATCATCTATTCAAAACTCTGCTGTGAAAATCATCTGCTTCACTCATCACTGTCCAAGTTCAACCCAGTTCAGAATCCTCTCATTGTCTCTGTTGCTTTCCCTTCTGAAATTCAGGCTCCTAATTTTAACTTTTGAGCACATCTAAAACTCAAATTTTTCTTACATCTGGTCATGTTTTCTTTTGCTCCCTGGTGCCCTCTTTGTTCAGTCCAAGCTCCTTGTTTGACTGTCCTCTTTGTGCCTCCTTTCATATTTCCTTCCACACCCAGAACTTATTTCATAACACGCTGTCATT